GAATCTGCTCCGACCATTGGTGACTCTGAAGCAAGCCTAGTATCGGTTGATACGCGAAGATTGTCGAGCGACGGTCGTAGGTCAGGGTGGTTTGGTTTGGTGTTGTCAGGCAGGGCTTGCTGAGCCCAGTTGACGAGAGATCGGAGAATTTCAACCAGAGCCTCGAGAGACTCCTGCTTCATTGCATATTCTTGAGGGTAGCCGTGTTCCGTGTCGTGTGATGAGTTCATGGAGACAGTCGTCAGTGATGGTGGTAATGTGCCTCGGCTCTGCCAATCCATCTGTCTTGATTGCTTCTCTCGTTGGTCCTGGTACGCTTGCTGTTGCACAGGTGTGATGGTGACGGGGTTGCTGGAGATCTTGGACAAGTGTTCGACGACGCGTTGGAACATGTTGTCAAGTGCGGTGCGATCGCAATCATAGTTGAGATAGATCTCTACTAGTGCTCGGGGGTCTGCTGCCAGCCTTCCGAATATTGTCAAAATGTATTGCTTTTGGAATGCAGGAGCACTCCGCTTGTCTAGAGTTGCAAGGTAGATTTCCTTTAGGAACACCTCGACTTCCTTCTTGAGTGATATGCGCAGGTATTTAAGCATCTGCCAGAAAATCTCGCAGGCAACTTCGAAGACGTGCTTCACGGAACTTGCACCGTTCCGGCTCAGGCTCAAACAAAGATACTGTTTGACTGCCTGTATGAAGCTCGTTGGCTCGTCGCTGCCACTGCGGATAGTGGCATATGGCGACACGAATACAGCAATATTATTGAAAAGTATGGTGTGAATCATGTGCAGGGAGAGAAGCTTTGAGCGCATGCCTTGGGACTTCACGTCGTGGGCATGGTCCACTGACAGACCTTTTGTGCTCAGACGGCACATGGCTCTGAAGACGAGGTACGCGTCTTTGACAAATATCTCATCTTCCTCCTCTTCTTCGGTGTTGACATGAGGCGAACCCTCTTGACCGGACACGTGTCGAGACCCAGCTTTGCCTTTGATGCGAGTCACCAGCGTTGGCGCATTATCGTGTATGCGGTCGTCGTTGAAGCTCATGTTGTTTTCGAAGCTTTGCAGCGTGATCTTGGGTCCAGTGTGTCGGTCGACTGCCTTGTCGCTCGGTTCGGCGTTTTCGGCATCGTGCTCGTCCTCTGCATCGTCGCCGTTGGCCTCGGATCCGGTGATGTCTTCTGCGCTGCCCTCCTCGGGCTGTACACTCTCACTCGATTGCCCCTTGTCGTTCAAAGATGAGCGCGACAGGTTCATGCGAGCTTCCTTGATAGAAAGTCTCGTCTTGACCCTTTCGAAGACTGTGCCAACCATTTGTGTCAGTGCACCCTGTGCTACTTGTTGGTTCGCGCTTGACTTGGAAAGGAGGAAGATGTTGTACGTGAGTCGCACAGCCTTCAACAATCCTGCTCCGTGTACAACGATCTTGTCGTTCAAGATGGCTGCCAGCAGCGACTTGACGATTTGGAGTTGGACTTCGGGCGCAGTGGCCTCGCCTTGGAAGCAATCGCATATCGTGTCTATGGCTCGTTCGATCAGAGGAGGGGCCTCGCTGTTGTCGGCTCGCGGCTCGGCCGGCACGGAGAAGTAGGAGTAGCTGATGAGCTTGCCGATGCAGTCGAGCGCGGTGATGGACACGGGGACGTTGGGGGCCTCGGAGGCAAGTTGGAGGGGTTCAAAGAGGACCTCGGGGTTGATGCGCGCCGGGTCGCCCTCGTTCTTGATGGCCGACAAGGCGGCATTGGTGCTGTCGCCAAGTTTCTTGTTCTTCCTGGCATCTTTGGAAGCTGCGATTGTCTCGAGCGCGGTGACGACGAAGACGAGGGAGCTTTTTGTGGATGGTCGCGTGGCCGTAGTGGCTGCTGTGGACTGCGAGTCGGTTCGCGGGCGGTTCTCGATAGGCAGGCGGTGGTCGAAGATCTGCTCGGATGATCGCGGCGCGTCTCCTCCGTTGGGGACGTGGAGGACTGGTGTTCCGGGCGCAGGTGTCGATGTTTCCGCCTCTTCCCGTGGAGCTTCGGGCGCTGGGGACGACGTATCCTCGGCGTGCTCTGATGCCTGCTCTGACGCTTGCTCCGACTCGGCGTCTGAGGAGTCGCTCTCGTCCTCTTCTTCGTCTCTTGTGTCTGCGGCAGGTGCATCTTGCTCCTCCATGTCGGGCTTCTCCATGTCCTCTCGGGGCGCTGGCGGGGGTTCGGTGTCGGCCATAGTTGTTCACGTCCGGGATGTTTGTAGGAATGTCACTTCCTCAGCAACCATGGCGGAGAAGGAGCGATTGGAAAAAGTGAGGGCGCGGCAGTGGTGACTCGGACTGGCGCAGTGCAGTGCAGAGCAGCGGACAGCGGGCGAGTCTGTGCAGGCGTTGAGCGAGTCGTGCTCTGAGATGACACTTTGTGTCTTTCCTCCTGGCTAGTTACGTACCTGGGACCAGCCGCGCGGTAGGCTAGGGAAGGCGCCACACTCGCGCCTGCCTCAGCCACAGCCTAGCGCCACACTTTGCGTCCTGCCGGGAAATGTCGCATCCAGCATAGACCCTCATCGGGAGAGAACGCTAGTCGCCGGGTCTCCAACCAGCTGCACTAAACTTTTCGTTGAACAGTCTTCCATCTCCTCCAGCCCTGACCGCTAAGCGCCTGAGCCTCCAGCTCGCTCACCTCTGTCTGCCTGTCGCCCTCGCCCGACAAGCCCGTCTTCCCCCATTTCACGTCGCTTGGAGTAAAATCTCAGCGCCCGGCATCCCAACACAATGCCCGCAACCACAACTCTGCTGTCCCGGGCTGGGAGCCAATTGAGCTCGCGGGGGTCAATTGCCCTGCGCGGCGCCCTGCCCACCTCGAGATGCTCCGCGTACGTTAGCTTCACTCCCGCCTGGCATTGCCCACAATCCTCCGACGAGCATAGCTGACACGCACGTATACAGACGCACACCAGCCCTGTCCGCGCTCGCACGCTACTATGCCTCCAAGTGTGAGCACTCCCACCGCATCCCTCGCGACGAGATACTCCGCTGGCCATCGCATTGCTAACGCAGCCCGCAGCCTACCCCTCGCACAGCGTTATCAGCATGCCCGCCCTCTCCCCAACCATGACCGCCGGAAACATTGGCGCATGGCAGAAGAAGGTTGGCGACTCAATAGCGCCCGGTGACGTCCTCGTCGAGATCGAGACAGACAAGGCACAGATGGACTTTGAGTTCCAGGAGGAGGGCACCATCGCCAAGATCCTCCGCGACGCTGGCGAGAAGGACGTCGCTGTTGGAAGCGTAAGTCGAGGTACACAAGCTTTCGAGGGCACCATGCTGACTTCCACAGCCCATCGCTGTTATGGTTGAGGAGGGCGAGGACGTCTCCGCATTCGAGAGCTTCTCCATCGAGGACGCCGGTGGTGACAAGAAGGCCGACACTCCCTCCAAGGAGGGCAACGCCGCCGAAGCCAGCGAGCCCCCGAACACTGGCTCCAAGACCGCTCCCCCCGCCAAGGAGGAGTCTGCGCCCGCCGCCATCGAGTCTGAGTCCACCGGCGACCGCCTAGAGACCGCTCTCCAGCGCCAGCCCGCCGTCTCCCCCGCCGCGAAGAAGCTCGCGCTCGAGAAGGGCGTCCCGATCGGTTCCATCAAGGGCACTGGAAAGGGTGGCCAGGTCACCAAGGAGGACATTGAGAAGTACAAGCCTGCTGCCGGTGCTGCCCCCGCCGCTGGCGCCTCCGCTGCCGCGTACGAGGACGTCGAGGCTACCAGCATGCGCAAGGTCATTGCTACCCGTCTCCGCGAGAGCATGCAGCAGAACCCCCACTACTTCGTCGCCTCCAACATCTCCGTCTCCAAGCTCCTCAAGCTCCGCGAAGCCCTCAACGCCTCAGCTAACGGCGAGTACAAGCTCTCGGTCAACGACTTGCTTGTCAAGGCTCTCGCTGTTGCCGCCCGCAAGGTCCCCGCTGCCAACTCATCCTGGCGCGAGGATGGCGATAAGGTCATTATCCGCCAGCACAACACTGTCGACGTCTCCGTCGCTGTCTCTACCCCCGTCGGTCTCATGACCCCCATTGTCAAGAACGTCAACGGACTCGGCCTCCAATCCATCTCCTCCCAGATCAAGGACCTTGGCAAGCGCGCACGCGACGGCAAGCTCAAGCCCGAGGAATACCAGGGCGGAACCATCACCATCTCCAACATGGGAATGAACCCCGCTGTTGAGCGATTCACCGCCGTCATCAACCCCCCACAAGCTTGCATCGTCGCAATTGGCACAACAAGGAAGGTCGCGGTACCAGGCCAGGCTGAGGATGGCACAGCGAGCGTTGAGTGGGACGACCAGATTGTCATCACCGGCAGCTTCGACCACAAGGTTGTCGACGGTGCCGTCGGTGGCGAGTTCATGCGCGAGCTCAAGAAGGCCATTGAGAGCCCTCTCGAGCTTATGCTATAATCTGATTCTATTTTCGGTGCATTTGGGACGACTGTGTAACTTTACTATTGGGCTAGATGAGATTGGATCTCAGGGACAGACGATCTTATGTACAGCGGATGGCGCGTTTTCTATCCCCCATGATCATTTGTCCAACTGTCGTATTGCATGATAACCCCTTGTATGAAAAGATATCTCCCTTCTTCGAATTGTTTTGCGTCTGTTGTTGCGTAGTTGATCACCCTGCACGCCCGGACTAATGGTAAATCTAGACCCGGATTCTCGCCTGGAAATCTTTCTGCGAACCGGGACGGTGGTAAGCTATATAGCCGGCACGTATATGCAGGACAATAGGTGAACACCACAGCTCAGTCATCCCACACCTGCGACGACCACATGCTCGTATGGCCCCACAGACGAGGCATTGGAAGGGTGTGTGGGGAGCAAACAGGCTGGCTTCACAGCGAGTGAGAGCGATAACGTTATCTGTACATCGTCGTGATGGCGGTGGTTTCCTATATTGAGTTCGTTCGCGCCTGCCTGCAACGACTCTACGTCCTTCCCTCAATACATTGTCACTCACGACCTCACCAAGATGCTCTATACTACTCTCGTCTTTTACCTCTTCTCAGCGGCAGCAATTGCCCTCAATTTTGATTGGGAGCGCGAACAGCTCACTAACGAGGATGCAGCTCGCAATGACGCAGTGCGCTTTGGTAGTGCATCACAAGCTGCGGCGCCTGCTGATTGCAAGATCATCCCGGGCGACGCTGAGTGGCCGGGCGAGGATGTCTGGACCTCTTTTAACGATACGCTCGGTGGTGTGTTACTGAAGCCTAGACCGCTTGCCAGCGTCTGCTATACTGGTCAGGGCTACAATGCAGCGAGATGCAAACAGTACAAGAGTAACTGGGCGGGCATGAACCTACAGTGAGCTCACTCCTAACGAACCGACGCCCTTTTTGTGTCATGCTAACTACGACAGTACCGATGATCCCACCAGTATCATGTCCCAATGGGCATCCGGGAACGCATGCACACCAACCTCACAACCAAACTCAAACTGTACCCAGGGTGGTTGGCCGGAGTACGTCGTCAGAGCTACTACGTTGAGACACATCCAACTCGCAGTCAACTTTGCTAGGAACCAGAACATCCGCCTTGTGGTCAAGAACTCAGGTCATGACTTCAACGGAAAGTCCATCGGTGGCTATTCCCTTAGCGTTTGGACGCACAACCTCAAAGGCATGACGTATGATCCGAACTACACCTCACCGACTGGTTCGTATACAGGAAAAGCTGTTGCTTATGCCGCCGGTACCCAGGCTTCTGAGGGGTCTACACTAATGCGGCAGAAGAATATGCTCATGATTGTTGCAGGCGGTTCAACCGTAGGTATTGCAGGCGGTTTTCTCCAGGGTGGTGGACACAGTGCCTATACCAGCTACTATGGTCTGGCGGCAGACCAAGTGCTCGCCATCACTGCTGTTACAGCTGATGGAAGGGTAGTCGAAGCACATGAAGGGGAAAACGCAGACCTGTTCTGGGCTTTCAGAGGAGGAGGTGGAGGTAATTATTCCCATCGAAAAAGGGATCAGACTGTCACTGACCAAAGACCAGGCACGTTCGGCATCATCACATCCGTTGTCGTCAAAGCATTCCCGGCCACTTTGATCACGTCAGGCAGTGTTCGTTTCTCAACAACACCAGACCGTGGATCAAGTGCGCCTCCAATCTCTGCAGAAACCTTCTGGGCCGGCATGCGCGCGTACTGGGAGTTCTCGATCGCCATATGCGACGCAGGCGGGCTGGGTTACAGCTTCATCTACCCAAGCAGTAGTAGCACAGGTCTTACCTTTACTGTCAGTATTTCGGTTCCCAACAAGACTACCACCGAATATCGGCAATTTGTCCGCCCATTGCTTCAGAAGCTCAATGATCTCGGTATCCAGCAACCTATGCCGACACTCAAACGCTCTCTCACGCCATCTTTCTCGTATGAAGACGACTCCTCACACCAGGCATCGCCTCTTTCCAAAAGAGTGATAGGCGAAACAACAGGCCACACCCTAATAGCATCCCGCTTCTTCCCCCGCACCACCTTCTCCACCCCCTCCACACTAGAAACCTCCCACCTCGCCATCCGCCACGTCGTCGAAAACGGTTCCCTAACTTTCCACGGCATGAACTACGCGCCCACGCTCTCCGTCTCCGGAAACCCAAACAACAGCGTAAACCCCGCGTTCCGCACCACAGTCCTCCACGCACAAGCCTACGAATCCAACGCGCATTGGGACGGCAAAGCACCCATCTTATTGCACGAGGCACTGACAGAGAGACACCAAAGACTGCAGGGGTATATGCAGGGTTGGCGGGATGTAACGCCCGGGAGTGGGAGTTATATCAATGAGGGGGATGCGCAGGATTGGGAGTGGAAGGATGCGTTTTTTGGGAGTAATTATGAGAGGCTGGCTAGGGTGAAGAGGGCATATGATCCTGAAGGTGTGTTTTGGGCGATTGGAGGCGTAGGGAGCGATGAGTGGGAGGTTAGGGATTTGGAGGGGAAGAAGAGGGAGGGGATCGTTACGCAGGATGGGAGGTTGTGTAGGGTGGGTTGATGGTGAGGAGGGGGAAGGTACGTGATGTGGGAGGGCACGATCTTCAGCGATGCTATCTCGATAGATGGTGGTTAGAACTGTCAAAAGCCACTTTATCCAAGAATAGCTGCAATTCAGTCATCATTAAGCATCATGGGGAGCTCGTTGTCGCTCCCCGGAGGCTGTCGTTCCGCTACATCGGAGTCTCGGTGCCTTCCCGCCTCCGCAGTCTCACACCCGGGACGCCTGAACAACGGAAAACGTGAGCGAATCATATACATTATGGAAATGCACAAGAACTCTTTTGGAACAAACGAGGGATAAGTCGGAGACTCAAAGATAGGAGCAATAGATAAAAGAATTGCAATACACCATATGTCCCACGCGCCACATCCACCTTCCACCTTTTGGCCCCAATACTCCGACTCCTACTTTCTTACACTTCTCCGCCTTGATCCACGCAACCATGTCGTCTACCCCATCCCTCTCCTCCAAAGTCATCCTCATAACCGGCGCAAACAGCGGCATAGGAAAAGCCACCGCCCTCTCCCTCGCCACCCTAAACCCAGCACAGATCTGGATCGCGGCTCGCAACCTCGCAAATGGCGATGCTGCCGTTGCTGAAATCAAAGCCGCCGCACCGGCCATCGATGTTCGATTCGTAGAATGCGATCTAGCGAGTTTTGACTCGGTGGCAAGAGCGGCGAGGGAAGTGGTGGAGGGTTGTGGAGGGAGGTTGGATGTTTTAATGTTGAATGCTGGGATTGTATGTCCGATTTCTATTCTGCCAGCGTGTCGCGTCTTTTGGAAATGTCTTGTCGTTGACTGACGCTCTTCTGCGACGATAGATGGGCGGCCACCCGGGCACTACACCTCAAGGCCATGAACTGCAATTCGGGACGAACCACGTCGGTCATGCCCTCCTCCTCAAGCTCCTCACACCAGCCTTGCTTTCCACTGCCGAAACCACGGTCTCAACACCCCGCGTCGTCTCCGTTAGCTCGCGGGGCCACGCTCACACAGCCGCTCTACCAGCCGGCGGCATCACGTTCGACACCTTGAAATCCTCTCAGGCTGACTTGTCAGGCGTAAACAAGTACACGCAATCCAAGCTCGCTAACGTAGTTTACGCGCGCCAATACGCATTGCACTACCCGCAGATCATCAGTGTGGCGATTCATCCCGGTGACGTTTTGACGGAGATTTTCAATAAAGGCGCCGGGGGAGGTGATGAGCAGATCAAGTATCTGGCGCGGGAGGTGGCGCCTAAGAGATGTGGGTCGCTGGAGGAAGGAATCAAGAACGGGGTTTGGGCGGCGACTGCAGAAGGCGTGCTGAGTGGACGGTACTATGAACCTGTGGGTGTGTTGGGTATGGGGAGTGAGTTGTCCAAGGATACGGGATTGGGAGTGAAGTTGTGGGCGTGGACGCAGCGAGAGATAGAGGGATGGGAGCTCTAAAATGTTGGAGAATGATGCCCTGGACTGGTTGGTTCTAGTTGAGGATTAGATGTTCTTGGGCTGTATTGATCCCCTTCAGGTATAAGAGTGTGTCTTCTTGTCGGTCTTGTGCCTGGGTTTGGGATTGGCGTGAAACGTAATGACATACGGGCTACCGTCGAGTCGCCGTCTTCTGCATGTGACGACGACTTCGTTCGTGAGGTCTCCTCTTGTCGTTGCTTCCACATCGTGGAACATGTCATGCTCCGGCATCAAAGACCAGCTATACAAATCTTCCAAATTGGGTATTTCTGAGAGAGAGAAGCCATCTCCAGCGTTATCCCCATAGTGAGTATCTTGCTCTTCAAGCTCCATAACCGTTTCCGCGATATTCGCTGCCGTGAAAGAATCCCACGTTCCTTCCTTCAGTGGGATCACCCGCAGGAGCCGAATAGCATGGAGGCGGATACGATGGTATCGACACTTGATAGCCGTGTAATACAAAGGCGCAATAAAGCCGTACTCGCCAATCGAATCGTGGAGGTTGACGTTATCGGGTATAGATTTAGCCAAGGTGTACTCTTCGAAGATGTGTATGGCATGCACAAGTATCGTGAGAAACGTTGGCGTGTACGCTTCGTAGTGTTGCTGAGAGTGCACTTGCAGACAGCCGCACATTATGCGCGCCATGGCATGATACATGAGTAGCAATTTGAGGACTGACGGTTCGCGGCCCGTCGGAAGCTTTGCTGGCGGCGTCTTCCCGCCGAACGCCCACAATTCATCTGGTTTCCTCCCGGCAGCTAGGGCTAGTCTGTCGACCGAGGGAAGTGTACTCAGATACGTATCGTGCCACATCGCAAGAGAGGTCGTGATCTCTTCTTGTGCTGCTGTAACCGCAGCAATTTCGTCTTCAGTGCCTGGCCCCATCTTTCGATATTGTTGTGCTATGAGAACAATGCCGTGCAATAGCACATCAAGAGCGTCCTTCGCCTCCTCAATAGTCGTAAAAGTAGGGTATGGTATGTTGTTTTCTATCGGTTGAAGAAATATATCGAGATCTTCCAGACCGGAACCGAACAGATTATTTTGCATATGTAGGGTGGCGAAGCTGCGCACGATGCCTTGGTCGATGCTCTTTTCATATGATGCCGGCTTGATTACGAGGACGCCATTGTGCGAGCGGTCTTTCTTCGTGGCCATGTTCATCAGGACCTTTAGACCGTTCCGTAAGTGTGATTCGGCCAATTGGTATTGCCCGCGGAGGTATTCAAGCAACGTAAATAACTGACAGGTGACCAATATCACTGTGACTGAGGCTTTGTCTCCACGCCGCAACAGCGGCTGTAGCGACTGGATTGCTTTGCCATATTGTTGAAGCATGAACTTTTCCCTCTCATCCGGAGCTTGTGCCGAATCGAAACTGCATCTGTGCGCAGCGCTCAGCGCAACAGCAGCATGCAGAACAGCCGGTTCTGACGACGCTGCTGGCAGCACGATCGAGTTCCAGAACTTCGAAGCAAACCAACCGGAAGTTGTGTGAACGATGCGGATCCTGTATAACTGTAGATACCTGAGTTCCTCGACACCCAGGACTTGGGTTGGAGGCTTCTGAATCGACATTGACACTCGGCCGTATCGTTCAACATAGGTGTTCCCTCCGCCACCCCACAGTCCGTAACCCTCGCATGTCCGGCCGGTGGAGCGACAACGAGAGCATACAGGCTTGGTTTCGTCGCACTTGACTCTTCGCGCTCTAGTCGATGTCGGTAAGCGTCCATAGGAACAGATCTCTACCCAGATCGCTGCAAAACAAACAGCCAATCGGTTGAGTACCGTGTCATTGAACAGGGGAGTCCACTTACTTGCAGGTTCCGCACCCTGATTTAGACTTCCTCCGTACAACTCCTCTTACAGGTTGGTACGCAGCTTTTGCAGTCACGTGTTGATTCGGTGTGTTGGCTTCTGGCTGCATAGCGAGAGCGACGTCTAGTTAGAGTGACGAACATGAAGACGTCGCTCCAACTCGGTTTGCGAAGATTCTTAGCGGCTCGAATAGCATGTTTCAAAGAAGACGCAGGGAGTGTTGCGAGACAGTTTGGAGGACGAACGGACAGTCTGTCAGCCCTAAGCTCGCTAAACTTCGGGAAGGTAGGCCGGACCCCTGCATACGTTACGCGCCGCTCATTGGTCCGCTCGGTACAGCTACATCTTAATTGCTCAGGCCCGCTGATGGTGGGGAAGAACCTCAACACCTGGGAACGCTTGATAGCTGTGTACATCGTGTTGAGATCCTGCCAACTTTCGTCGTAATACCGATGTGCTATGTAGGGTACTACATAGCCGTGCACCAGACCTTCCCCTGCTCCCGCTCCTTCTCATCCATAAGCGCCACAAGGGCCTCAGCTCGCGGAGACCCGAATACAAAATTGAAGATGTCATAATCCGTTGTTTGTGACCCGGTCTCGATATCATAGGTGTCTTTCCAGGCACCGTGTTCAATAAGTAGTTCACAGCTCTGGTACCAAGCGCTCGTGAGACCTGCTGAAGGCTTTGTACTACCACGCCGTTGATGACGTGACGCAGTCTCATACATTGAAAGTAAAAAGAGGTGCCAAACTGACTTGCTGTTGTTCAGGCGGACAGGCTGATTTGGATTCGCCCCACGTTCGAGGAGTAGCCGAACCACTGCAGAGGCGATGGTGCGACATTAGTGTCTGTCTCATACGCACTTTGCGCAGTCAAGACTTACTATCCACATTCACACTTGAATCGTCGCGCTTGGAGTGGTATTCCATGGTGATGTATTCGGTTCGGCGTGGACGGAGCGCGTAGTCCAGTAAAGGTCGCCCACACTTTCGCGCATTGTTTGGGTTGGCGTCTAACTTCGCACGAACGTACTTGACGAGGCGGGCTTGTACAGCCAGTGCAAGAAAGTTGCAGTTGCCTCCTTCACGATACATATCATACCCGCTATCGTTGACTGCATCACGGGCATGCGTCCAGTGGTTTCTTGTACCACGTGCGTGGTGAGTATTGACGCGATCCACCTCATCGAGAACCTCTACTATGGATGAGGTAGGGTTAGGGTCGGTTCTCTCGGTTTCGTAGGCGTAATAGAGTAGCTCGTCCGTTAAGCTTATAACTTCGTCGATCGACAGTCGATTACTGTCTTCAATATCCGGTAGTGACTTAAGCATGACAAGGCATATTCTGCACAGGGTGGATTTGGAGCTAAACTCGGTCTTCAGATTGGCCCGTAGTTGGTTGTAGTAGTTGTCCTTCAAGAATTCGGCAACGGTCCGGTGAAGGAAGTCGACCGTAGGACCCAGGAAGCAGGGATGTCTAGAGTGACACAGTTAGAAAATTACAAATAGGCGTCCCTCGGTTTAAGAAAAGTCCGAAGCACTGCATGTATCTTCGTCCAACGGCTAGAAATGCCCACATCTTGAGAATCGCTTTCCAGTCGTCTAGCACTTGAGTAGATGGCCAGAAGCTTCACTTACTCTTCATCATTGACAACGAGAAGATCGCTACATCTGTTCCGAATGAGCGATTTCCACTTGGGATACTCACTTCTCAAATCGTCTTCGCGAATGGGCCGTATGGGGAGGTTGGTGGCATAGGCGGGGTTCTTGCGTTGGTGTTCCAGCAGAGAAAACGCGTATAACGGTAGCGGTTGCAGCTCATCGACCGTGATCAAGAAGATTTGTGACATCTCTTCAAGATACTGAGGCTTAACAGCCTTGACCATGCGCTCAAAGTACACCTCTAGGTCTGCTGGGAAGAGATTGACGATATTCCACAGCATGTCCACACCTTCATATCGATCGACAGCGTGTACAAGGTCACGAGTAATGAGGAAGACCCATAACCATACGCCCTGCGCAAGGTCTGCAATCACGTTCATTATTGATACGCACGTGGTATCGGCATTCGCCAGGCGTTGGAAGTTCTCATTCTCCCCGAGGAGACGCTGAACATGGCGTCCCATGTCTTCTTTGGTAAAGCTCTTAATGTCGAACGTGCGAGATGTGTTGTTGAAAAACCTCTCGAACACTGAGCGAGGCCGTGTCGAGGCACAGATCTTGATGTCCTTTGATGTAGAGAGGAATTTCAGGGCGCTGACAACGTCTTCCTCAGCCCCGTTGTACTCGTCTAAACCGTCGATGAAAAAGCAGAACTTGACTTCCAAATCTTTCTGGGTGGCTATGCGCGCGAAAGTAGCTTTTAGTTCTTCCACGTCCCACTCTTCGTGCTCTAAACGATGTGGGCACACTGTCTCGATGAGCCTGGGTACAGATTTGAGTATCTGGTACAGCAACGACTGAAAGAGTCCTCCTTGGCTCTTTTGCATTTCGTAGCCTTGATTCCAGAAGTAGTAGCTCGCCGTGCAGAGCTTGGTCGTGCCTGCCCAACTTTCAAGGCATTCGAAAGTGCGAGGATTTCCAGTCACAAACTTCATCAGAGTTGATTTGCCGCTACCTGCCTAGATCGGCCACGTTAGTGGAAGTTGAAACACTAGAGAGATCATATTTACCCGGCCTGTAATGCAGAAAAGTCCATCATGTTCGTCGGTACTTTCTAACCAGACTGTGAAGGGAGTCAATGCCGTGTCAAAGATCCATGTGTTCGACGCTTTATCAGCTTTGGGAATTTGACTCCAACGCCTGCGCAGGACTGGGAAGTAGAGGCTTCGTATAGTCGCGGTTTGCTTGGTGCATGCCGTGTGCTCTTTGCCAAGTGCATCAAACTTCGTCTTCAGGCTAGTCAATTGCGCGACATGCGTGGCGCCTTCGCTCGTGCGAGTTTGTGCTACGAGGGTGAGTATTTCGTCTCGAATCTGATCCAGCTTGGCGTCGTAGCTGATTGCTAAGGCATCTTGAGCCGTCTTCACGGCGTCTAGTTTGGCTGATAGCGAAGAGTGATGATCACTAAAAGACAAGTAAGTCAGCGTGGGTTCTGGCTAATAATTCGTTCTCCATGTACAAGGAAGCCTCTGAACAGGCCTGCAGACTACATAGGATGAAGCAAGGAGATTGAAAGATACGGCGTGGATTCAGGCTCTAGGGTGTTACAATTCCCCCTTCATTAAGGTGGATGTATGCAGCTCAAAACGCTGTTATAATCTCCATTGACATACCTCCGGATAATGTGTTCAACATTCACCCGAATGCGCTTATCTAGCGCATCAAGCCTTGCTCGTAGAGCCTCGATGTCGCGTTGTTTCCAGAGACCTTGGAAAAGGACGCGACTACTTTCGAGGGTCTTCGAGCGACCTTGGCGCATATGTAGCCGGGCGATAATCTTGCGCAACTCTTCGGCTATGTCGCGGCATTGTTGGACCATGCCCAAAATGTGCTCTTCGTGTACGGACAGCTTTTGACCGGAAGTTCGCTGCTTCTTGACTCGCTCGTGATATATCTTAACGTCTTCCACGATGAGTTCAAGCTCTCGAACCTCCGCAGTCGTACCGTGAACGGAATCGCGCACGTTTCGAGCCCCAGAAGCGAATTTGATGCCGAAGTCGATGAAAGATATGATATTAGATACCAGCCCGATTATAGCAAGTGCCTCGGCCATTCTCGAACCCAAAGGGAGCGTGAATCTCCTGCGGATCCGAGCTGATGAAGAGTGACGATGCTAGGGAGCTGAGCGACAACACAGCCCCACAAGGCTTACGGTCGCTGTTTTCCTATTGGATGAACCGCAGAGGACCCCATGGCTGAGCGCTTACCCCTGCGGAGTGTTTGGGGGCGGTAACAATGCCTTGCAGACAGCCTGCCATCGTCAGCTATCCGAACCGAGCCGAAAGCTCTCTTCGTCTTTTGGCAATACGGTCGTGACGGGAATTCCAAAATCGTCCGTCAGGAAGGCACCCAAAGTACGAATTGCGTGCGCTTCGACCATCATCAGAAGATTTGTTTGGACACTCGTTCGGCGAGGCTGCGAAACTGTAGCGTTATTAGTGTCCAGGAACTGTCCAGTAAAGCCGAAACACTTCGAAGCTCCACGACGCATCGATGGATACTGAGCGTTCACAAGCTGAGAACAGCCAGTCGGTTGACCATTGCGCAGCTTATGTTTATAGCAGGCTGATGAATGGTAGATCGAAACCTGCACATACATTTCAGCAAGACACTGCATCTCAGCGCTCATCATCCGATCTATCCTCACACGGCGTCTCAGCGGCCCGCCCCGAAAATGTAGAGGGCAACGACTTGAAACCACTCGTCGGTTGGAATTTGAACAGCCAGGCTCGAATGCGGCAGCACGATAATAGTTGCATTCGAATGCCTGCTCGATTCATCCGCTGGATTCCAGAGGCCCTACTCAAAATGGTCGAAGGCCTGGTGTTGGCTATCGCCAGCATGATGAACACCGTCTTCGAGTGCATGCCATATCCTGTCAGGGTAATGATTTGGTTCTGCTTGCTCGCAACACTGGTTGTGAATGGAATCTTCCTTGGTATCGCGCTGAGTCGCAGGGAGTCTGCGTTTGTGCCACTTGTTATTGAAGCTGCGTCGATATTCGTGTGGGGGGTTCTCAATCGCAGTGTTATGGGAAGGACTTTCTCTCAGGATAGAGGTGAGGCGGTGTGATCAAGGGCGCTCTTTGTGTTCCGTCGGTTATGTGGGAGGAAAGAGGTATCCAGAACATTGCGCAAAGAGGCAACTGGCGACGGGTTCCGCCGCCCCACTTTAATGACGGAGTTCAGTCAGAGAAGGAAAGCACAACCACGCAGACCAGAATCATGGAAGCAGCGGAACATATCATTGTAGTTCCAAAACTGGATATCGTGTTCGTTCGTCTATGGACTAGTCTATCATAAGCATCGCATTACCATGATCGTCATCACAGAGAAAACAAGAAGAAAAGTCGAACAGAGAAAACTTTCCCCTCGGCGCCAAACGTAGCCCTTTAGTATACCACGCCGACCAAATGCTTTTCACTTTGCCGTTACGCCTTCGCAGATGCCTCTCCGCTTAAGAAGCCTCCTCAACGCCGTCTGGCTTTTGTGCCTCGGCGTCCGTCATCTCCGCGTCTTTTGGCTCTTCCGCCGGCGGCGCCTCAGCCTGCTTCTTGGACTCGGCTTCCCGCTTTGCGCGCTCAAGCTCGGCTTGCTTGGCGGCGTGCTCCTTTTGGTGCTTCTCCATGGCCGCTTGTCGCTCGCCCTCGATCTTGTCGTTGTAGCGCTGGATGATGGGACCGGCGATGGAGCGGATGTCCTCCTTCTTGGAGACGTACTGTGCCTTCGACGCGTCGTCACCCTCGTCGTATAACCATTCCTGTATAGGTGTCAGCGCAGCTCATGCATCGTGCTGTTGATGGGACTTACCTCGATGGTCTCTAGCTTGGTGTTGAGCTTGGCCTTCTCTTCGTCGCTGGCGAATTCGGCGTAGACGTCGAGAATCTTGTCCTTGAGCTCGTAGATGAAGCTCTCGAGGTTGTTCTTCTCGTTCTCGGTGTCTTGGACGAGCTTGTCCTCCATGATCATGGAGTTCTCCTTCTCGGCCAGGGTCTGCTTGCTCTCTTCGTCAAGCGAAGCAGTGCCTGCGGATAGTGGCAGGTCACCCTTACGCTGCTGCTTCTTAACCTTGCGCATCTTCGGTGGCTCCTTGGCGGCGTCCTTGTCAACGTCCATTGCCTGCGCATAATTTGTTAGCTCATTTGTTGTGTGCGCAGAAGTAGGACGCGCAAGTACAGGATCAGCGTCAGGCTTGTGTCGTTTCGCGGCAGGCTCGGGCGGGCTTTGCCGCCCGTTACTAGGATCAGAAGGAAATTCGGAACGTACATCACCCTCTTTCTTCTCTGCTGACGGAGACTCGGGAATTGGCTCCTCAACTTCGGTTTCCTCAACGTAGTATCCAGACTCGACGTTAAGCACACCGTGCACGTTGAGGCGTGCCTTGAGCTTGCAGATCATGAAGTCGCCCTTGGGGTCCTCCTTGACACCCTTGACGGAGAAGCGGCCGATCCAGGGGTTCATCTTGCCTGGCAGTTGCTCGGGCTTGGCGTATCTGGCCTCGAGGTCGAATGGGTGTTTCCGGTAGAATGTGAGGATCTTGGTTGATGGCATGACGTTGCCCTTGTTGAAGACGGTCAGGTTGGTGTCCTCATCCGGAATGTCCTCTGACTTTTCCCAGGTGAATTCAACGGGGTAGTTGACCATGTCGTGGACGGAGAAGTCACGGACACGGAATACTGGCGAAAGAATGGCGCAGCAGAAAGCGCAGCCACGAGCGACAGCCTCGTCCTGGTTGAGTGTGAAGGAGAGCGGCTTGCCGAAGTAGTCCTGGATCTTGGCCTTGAGGACGGGCACACGTGTGCAGCCACCAACCATCTCGATGGCGTCGATGTCGGCAGTGGTGAGCTTGGCCTCGGCGAGAGCTTGCTCGATAGGGGCGGTAGCACGGTCGATGAGGGGCTTGATCAGCTCCTCAAGCTCCTCGCGCTTGAGCATACCGCGGACATCGACGTCGTTCATGATGGACTCGACGTTGATGGGGGCCTGGTTGTTTGCGGAAAGGACCTTCTTCAGCTTCTCGACACCGGCCGACAGACGGAGGCGGGCCTTGCCGTTCTCCATGACGTCGATCTTGTACTTCTCCTTGAACTCCTTGGCGAAGTGCTCGACAAGGGCCTTGTCGATGTAGCGTCCACCGTAGTGGCGGTCCCAGGCGCTCGACTTGACGGCGAGCTCGCCCTTCTTGAACTCAACGACGGTAGCGGTGTAGTTGCTGTGGCCGATGTTGACGAAGACGACTCTCCGTGGCTTCTCCTCGGGCGCTGGGAGGTCCAGCTTTGTGATGCCCCAGCCGAGGGCGACTGCGGTGTTGTCGTTGATGAGCCTCAGGCACTTGAGGCCGGCGATGTCGGCGGCGTCGAGGATGGCGCGGCGCTGGGCATCGGTGTACCAGACGGGGCAGCTGAGGACGACGTCGTTGACGGGGAGTTTGAGTTCGGCAGATGCTGTGGCGCGCATCTTGGTGAGGAACATGGCGGTGATCTGGGTGGCAGTGAACTGCTCCTTCTTGCCCAGATATGTCACCTCAGCGCCGACCTGGCCGCCCATGTCGATGAGCGGCGCGGATATGAAGTCTTGCTCGACCTGGACATCGGGGTCTGTGAGGTTGCGGCCGGCGAGGCGGACGAAGGAGGAGACGGTGTTCTTGAGGTTGGAGATTTCCTGGTTCTTGGCCGTCTCGCCGACGTATCTGCTCTTGGGGCCGAAGCCTACTAGCGACCTGGGAAATTGTTAGTGGATGCTCGTTGTGTGCGCTGCGTGCGCTGCGGGTTGACTTACGGTGTCGCGCGGTTGGAAACCTCATTTGCAATCTACTGGCGTCAGTATTATGGTGTATCATATGCGACCGGGGCTACTCACCACATCGACACCGCGATTCCGCGCAACAGCAATGACGCTGTTGAGCGTTCCCAAATCAACACCTACTACAGACATGTTTATCTCTGATGGCGGGGTATGTGTGGGCAAACGTGGAGGGAGTGTGTGCGGTGAAAGTCGTGTTTGGGGGGTCGTGTAAAAGATAGACAGACACGGGTTCGCAAATTTCAAGTGACCGCTGCGTGATGACTTGCTGGCAATACGTCGAAGAAAAGAGAACCTTCTCGACAGGCCCTGTTTTAGCGGGGTCACTAAAGAAAGTGTTGCGGAAGGCACGGACCACGCAAATCGTCCAACAACACGCTGCGTCATATCCGCTCGCACTCGCTCCTGCCGTCTCCGCCGACGCGTCTCGAGGCCGCCAGCGTCTTCCAACACAACCCCCATGGACGCCTGCACGCCCGCCTCTGAGCACCCGCACGCGTCTCCCCTCCGCGCGATAAGATAGCTGACATCAGCATGGCCCAAATCCCCCCGTACCCACTCTACAACCGCACGTACAACCTGTACCGCCTGTCCCCGCTCCACTGCCACGACACTCCCCTCCTAGTCGACGCCTCACTTCGCACCCATGCCAAGCGCCTCAAGGAACAGCTCAAAGGCGACAGCGTGCGCGGCGTGCAGGTCGACTTTGCCGCTGCCGACGACACCGCGAAACTGGGCCCCCTGGACGAGTGCAGCTGGGAGCTGATTGGCGACGAGGATGCCTGGATTGACCGACATCGCCAGTCGATGGAGCCCGATGCCTCACAGCTGTCCTCCGTCTCCCAGCTCACCCCAGAGCGGGCGCGTGGACTGGAAGTGAGCCTCGAGTACGAGAAGCAGTCGTACAATGCGCTCCTGCTGCGCGACCCGGGCGTCACTTCCTCGCAAAATGGCTTCACGTCGCTGCCCCTGCTACTCGTGAAGATGCCAGGCCCAATACGCGACATCTTTCTCAACTACCTCCGAACGACCTTCGATGCCCACGTTGCGCCCTTGAAGCTGCCCTCGCCCTTCATCACTTCGAGTCTCGAGACCTACTTCAAGCACCTCGCTGCGAGATACTCGACCCAGTCCATACAAGACACTATAAGACAGCTACATATTCAATTGGCATTTCCCAATACCACAACTATTCTCAAACACGTAGAGATCACAGTCGCAGGCGGCGACATCTCTGGTTTCGTCGACAGGG